ATCACTGCACACCAGTCAATGCAAAATACAATTAACAATCTGCGGCACTGAGCAGGAGTCAATTCGGAATCCTATAATAAGCTAAGCAGGGGAAACGCTATTACCCTCCAGGGACCTGTAGGAGGCGCCACAAATAAATTGTGATAATGGTTTATTTCAAGTTTCATCACAGTGTTTTAAACTCTCTCACTTACCTACTTCTCAATCTTGCTCCCATGTGGATCTTATAGTAAAATGGAACAGCTCACAAGTGATGGGCTTTACAAAATAGGGCTGCGCGACAAATGAACCTAATAGCGGAGAGTGCCGGAGGCACGTTAGCAAAGAATAGGCCACAGTTGATAAGTCGTTGAGTGAGAGCCTTATCCATGCATGAGAAATTATGTCAAATATAACATTTATTTCACGGACCCTAGAACAGACCGGCCAACTTCTATTAAATGTCACAGCGTAAATTGTTCGTCACAACATGGTAGAACGGTATTTAAAGAGCATTTAGTTCTGTTCTTGTGAATGGATGACTTAGTTACTGGAAAAAGAGCTGAAAAGTTGACATTTCCATGCTAAACATTTCTCACTCCAGCTTTAAGTGTGCATAATTTCTCTTGTTGCCTTTGCATTGGAATGACATTTGTTCTTTCTGATAAATCTGGCCACTATATGTACTCTTGAGTCACAAGGTGGCGCTCACTGGACCCCTATCAAAGATTTCAGACACCAGAGCTTGATTCGGAAATGTCAGTTAGATGTTAAATAATGCAAAAGCATGTCAACATCGTTCCCAAAGGTTTGACTGAACTGCCGAAAAAACACCCAAGCATTGCGTTTGCAGAATAGACTCTCTCCAGGGCCGTGTTTATCAGTCCACAATTGGCCTCATTATGAGAAACATCAAATCTCAGGGCGGACAGGATCACTTTATTATATTCATTAATTCCATAGTACTCTGTGTGCTAGTACTCCCAAGTTTCATTTGTATTTGTGTGTATGTTTGGGATGAAGCCCAGACTTTCTAAGGCTTTTGTTAGTGTGAAAGGCAGTACTGATCCATGGCTTCAGGGCTGGCTGTGAGTGATGTTCTCCCGAACACGGCCGCAAACGTTACTAATAACATAGAGGAATGCGACGACCATGGAAATGACTGTGCCATGCTGATAAGGGCTCCCACTGATGGCATCATAGTAGTCTATGTGAGACTGCAGGATGACTCAGTAGGGTGTGGTGAAGTCGTCATTACCGACTTTCTCACACAAAAACCCCTTCCTGGGAAAAATTCTTCAGAGCCCCCATAAGGAACATAGCATCTTTAAACATTTGATTGCAATGGAGGTATTTATTATTCATTCAGAGTGACACACATGTAGATTTCTTCAGTATAACAAGGAATAATTTATCACAACCTGTGCCTTATTTTCAAAAAATGCACCCATAGATACCTATAACACATATTACGCTTACAGCATCTTTATGCATATACTTATTATTTTGCATAATAAGATTTATTATTTAACCTATGCAATAATTATGACTAAATCTGCAGTTTTGACGAGTTTGTAAAAGCCAATGACAGTGAGTTTCAACTGTTTTGAGAATCAGAAAGTGTTTATCGTACAACATTAAGGAATTGTCCATAAAATCAAATACTTAATATCGTTATGAACTGGCCCAGCAATATTCAAAACGATTAACATGACATGCTGAAAAGGAAGCAGACAATTTTGGTTTCTAAAGGTCTCATGAATTTTGATGGTTTCGTGTACTCGGCTGCCAATAATTCATTGCACAAATCACATTGTTGTTGGCACAAACCATGTTTATCCTAGCTGCAGGTGAACCCGTATTTAATGTAATCTTAGCTTATGGAGTTTTGTGCATGATTTTTGACGATGAGGGATCTCAAGCAACCTGTCCATGTTGGCATCTTCTTAAATTGGCTAGCTTTAACCAAGTAAATGTTGATTTTGTGCCAAAATACTGTTTAAATGGATGCACAGCCTGTGGTATCAAATAAATAAATAAAATAAAATAAAATAAAAATATGGGAAGCACTTTTTCCCTGGCTTTTAAAACCTATGCCTTTTTATTTTGCCATCCTAACTAGGCATGATTACATTTGCATCATTAGCATTGCTTTTCCCTGATGTCTGCAATTGTTTAAGAACAGAACTGTAACCCGACACCTGAGAACCACTAGCTTAAAGGGATAGTTTAAAGCATTATACAAATTAAGAAAGTAAAAAATTAAAAATAAATTATGCAATGGAAGAAGACGAGCTCATGGCTAAAAATGGCCACTTTTGTTAACTGCAGAGCAAGGGACATTACTGTTTTAGCCTGGATTTCAACACCGCACTCTCACACCTTAATGACTGGTCTAAGTTTGAAACAGCAAGCGTTTGAAGGATCCACATTAACAACAAAACCTGATTATTATTCTTTGTATATTTACAGAGGTTCTGGAAGTTATCAATTAATGTCTTGTCCAACCAACTAATTTAGTGGGCTTTTTCTTCCTCCAGTGGCCTACCTGAAGAACAAGAAGTCATTGTTGTTAATGCACTCTACCTTCCTTAGCCACTGAGTTTAGATTATTGTCTGTGCTCTTCCACTAAAGCAATTTCCTCTGCGTATCTAATTGTTATTACGTCCACTTGGCTTCTCCTGATTTGTCTGAGAGTTATTTATTTATTTTCATTCCAGGGAACCGCAGCAGTTTCCCAATGGGCAACAACCGTGAGATGCGTAACTTGCAGAAAATATGAATTTCTAAGGGCTAAATTAACACAGCTCTCAATTACCCCAATGCTGTTTTATGTTCCCATAAAGAGAAACTTAGAAAATGCCATATGACACAGTAAAAAACAGACAGACTAGATGCAAAAACAACATATTGAAGAGAATAAAACATCCGCTTTCATGCACCGTCATCTTTTCTGTATGGCCATTATGGGTGAGATGCGCGTGTTTATTTTTTTAATACATCTGGCCCCATCCAATAACCTGCTTATTGCTCCTCAACTTCATTAAGCTCCAAGAAAAAAAGTCTGGCAGATTTGCTCATTAGATTTCACAATGGTATCCAGGCTTGTGAAGAGAAAGTACTTGTCATCCACAATGCAGTCCCCTCCTCTACCAAAATTGCTTAGCTGTGCATAAAGTCTGTTAAATTCTCACACATCGGTTCACCTACCCTCCCCCAAACGGACTATCCAGCACATGACCACAACCTTGTAGGACACATAGTCAGCAGAACTCTAAATTGAGATTTATACATCATCTGAAAGCTGAATAAATAAGATTCCCATTGATGTATTGTTTGTTAGGATAGGACAATATTTGGCCGAGATACAACTATTTGAAAATCTGGAATCTGAGGGTGCAAAAAATCTCAATATTGAGAAAATCGCCTTTAAAGTTGTCCAAATGAAGTTCTTAGCAATGCATATTACCAATCAAAAATTACGTTTTTATATATTTACAGTAGGAAATTTACAAAATATCTTCATGGAACATGATCTTTATTTTTGGCATAAAAGTAAAATCAATAATTTTGACCCATATTTTGGCTATTGCTACAAATATACCCCAGCGACTTAAGACTGGTTTTGTGGTTCAGGGTCACATATCATGCATATATGTAATCATTTCCACTAGAGGTTAAGGTATGATTTTCATGATAGTTGTATTACTCCTTCAAAAGAGTGGCCCCTCTCTCCCTCTGTTGACTGATAGAGAAGATAACTTGAGAACACCATTCAAACAGAATATGAGGTTCATCCTGCTCCAAAGATGAATATGACAATCTTATCTATAACTTAATTTAAATTCCAGCTAAAATATAAAACTCAAGGCATGTTCCATTACGAATTCTTAGAAAATACAAAATAAATTAAATGACTATCATCCACTTGGCTCTATTGTAGAGCACTATGCCCTCTCCAAATAATCCACTGAAAATGTAAGATTATTACTATTCATGCTACAATTCGCCTGGGACTCACATCTCAATGACTTCCTATATGAGTCAGACCCACTTGTGCTGCACTCTGCACTGTGTTCTGAGGGGGGAAAGAACTCATACCAGCTGCTCATATATTCACTGCATTTCCTTCTCCCTCTTTTTCACATATAGATTTTTAAGGAAGGATGAATTTGGCCACGAAATTAAGTATCATTATTAATAATAGGCAAACTAAACACAAAATTAGTTGCTTACAAAGATATTTTAAAATAATCTAATCTGGTTTGCTGGGCTCTCAGCCTAACTAAACTGGTGTTCAACTGGTTGGCAAACTGGCCACCCAGCCTGACCAGCTGAAATGTGCCTCAAATCATCTATCTATCTATCTGTCTATCTATCTATCTATCTATCTATCTATCTATCTATCTATCTATCTATCTATCTATCTATCTATCTATCTATCTATCTATCTTATTTAAAGTGCCCCTATTATGCCATTTTTACGGTTCCTAATATTGTTTTGGGAGTCTCCTACAATAGGATTACATGCATGCAAGGTCAAAAAACGCTTTTGTTTTCTCAAAATATGCATTTAATATCACATAATTTTCCAGCGATTCTCAAACAATTAGTTCGAAGCAGTTTAAAGATTCAGTCTCTCTAAACCCCTCCTTTCCGTGAGCCTGCTCTGCTCTGATTGGTCAGATGGCCTAGTCTTTTGTGATTGGTCTACGGCGTACAGTGCATTTCGGAAACGATATGCCTATTTCAATAGTTCTGTATTTTCTATAGAAAATATAAACATCTATTATTTATCATACTTACAGGTTGTGATTCAGTGGAGCAGCTGGTCCAAATAAACAGGATACTGATCCATCTTTCAACATTTTGAATCCTGCGTTGAACAGTCGCCAGTAGAATGACGTGTTTGTGGGCGGGGTCAAGTTGTTTGCGGCCGCCAATGTAGAACATAGGCATGCATTATGCAAATGTGTTACCCCATGACGTGTAGCCATCACGGAAGCAGGATTCTAATTACTTTTTTTATTATTATTGAAAACATCGATTTATTACAATGAAAGATAGCCTTTAGCAATGATCAAGAACACAAAACCTGTTACGAGGGATTTAGAATAATAACAAGGTAAAGAAAGCAAGTATCAAGATAAAACAACATAAAATAAGAGTAAAATACAATAATAATTATCAAAAACTAAATAATAATAATACAGATAAATAACAGAAAGAAAATAAATATTTTTTTTTTACTTTTCTTTTTGACTCAAGTATGAGTTAAGAAAGCTCTTCTAAACATTCTATCTCAGTTCACAGATGATTCAAACCCTTATTTAAAATCTGGTATGTTTTAACTGCTTTTTTGTTTCTTTTTAATTTACAGAGGGATTCAGTGCAACTTTTTAATTCAGAGCAAAATGCAATACAATTTGGTTTAGAAGCTGTAACTTTACACTTATGGATATGACCTTTTCCAAGCAAGCACAGGATTTGAATAGCGTCAGATCCAGTGTTACATAACAAAAACAGGACCATTTCTTCAGTGATATCAATAAGGTTATTAAAGGAAGTAAAGATCAAGTTCAAATCTCAATCCAAAATGGTACTATAAAGGGACATCTAAAGAACAAATGAAGCACCGATTCATTTTCAGATCCACAAAGAGAGCATTCTGGGTGAATATCCATACATTTAGATACAAATAACTTGCAGGGGGTAAAAATTGTGAAGGATTTTAAGATGGATTTCTTTAACTGGGATTCTAGTTACTAACGACTGGTTTCAGCTGTTCAGAGTCCATTCTTTATTTTGGGAGACAATAACTTTATTTATCATGCACTTTCAGCTTTACAACTTTGCAGATCGTTTACATTCACATACAGCTACACTACACACTGCATGAAAGGCAATATTGGAAATGGCGTAATTTAAAAATAATTCTTATGTATTTGTCTTTCTTCTTTATACATTATACATACTGTTGCTTAGTTTAGAAAAGTTATGATGAAAATGTAAAACAAATTTAGCCTACTGTTGCTATGCCAATAAATAAAGCACAGGAACTGAGCTGAACTGAATTGAAACTTGATAGTAAGTAGCGAGAGAAAATGAAAGAATATGCACATTTCCTCTTAAATTGAGTCAACAACAGGGTACCTTTTAATCCGATACCATTGTTTTTTCAATGTCCCCCACTGCGCGCTCAGCTGAACTTCACTCGAGTTCTCGAGCCACTCCCAAACACACCTGATAACACCGAGCGACTCGATCCGCCATCAGCCTCCACATTCAACTCACGGGGAAAACCGAAACTCCTCCTAAACACTTCGCCAACTCTTACATTTAGCATCCAGACGGGCTATTTTAGGCCGGTTTTAGTGGATTATATCTTTTGGCTTTTGTTTAGCCGCTGGGAGGGATTATAACACGCGAAAAAACTTTACCACATCTTTTTAAAAGTCTCATCCCTCCATTTTGAGTCTGACAGGAATTTCAACAGTTTGGTGAGTATGTTTAGCTTTTTTCTGGCTACTTTAAATGCCATTATTTTCATCATTAACAAATATAAAAGTGAATTTGCCTCATAATTGGTTCTATTTACGTCTATATTGTGAATGCACGAACGACAGAAAGGCGCAGTTTGTGTTTGTGGCTAACGTTACATTGTTAGCTCGTTTCGCAACTTCTTGGAATGTTTGGGATATTTCTGTCTCTGTCGTTTCATTTGACACTAAATAAACACCAGTTTGTTTCTTGTAGACGTCTTGTTAGTCATCTTTTGACGAATTTAGAAGCGTCGTGAAAGGACAAAAGAGTTGACGACTACTTAAGAGTATTAAACAGAAACTATCCTGAAAACTTTGGTGGGGAATGCTAGTTAGCCGTTAGCTGCTCGTCTGGTATCAGGACAAATGTGTCGGGAGTTTTTATTCTTAAGGGCGTGTTTTTAAAAATCAAAACAAACCACGTTAATGTTATAGTATGTGTTTTAATTTTTTGAAGTCGACTAGGATAATAGTTTAAGGCATTTGAGAGACTAAAATCCATTCGAGGAGTTTAGGGCTCTGCCTACACCACAAACTATGGATGAGGCCCTGTGAGCTCTGCCCTTAGTACTAGTGTATACAGGATGCACACAGTTACTGAAATAACAATGTGTTGTCTATCTAAAATAGCAATACAGATAATAATATTTCTCTCTTTAACGTTACCTGTTAATATGTAAGTGATAATGTACAGTGAGTCAGCTCGTCATTATTGCTTAATAAACCCTCATTGGCTTTATTTTGTGATAACTGGCTGTACAATATCCCGTTTTACAAGTATTTTATTATATATTTATCAGCTATTTCACGGCTACCAAATACATTACGTGGTCTAGATTCGATTTGTAACGTCAATTGTTTTGTTAAATAACCTGTATAGAGAAATGTGAAGCTGACGTCACACAGCGTTGAGTTGTGGGAAACTGCTTTGTTTATCCGCCATACTGGTAGGATCGCGCTGCCTTTCCGCTATTGAGTTTAGGGCAGCAGTTTGATTTTCTGTCGTGATTGTGAAAAATGTCACCATTGTATGTCATTCATGCTGCATCGAGAATTGCAATAGTAACTCGGATCATCGTTCTGAGCGAAAACTGGAAAATGTAATGTTTTTTTCGCCTTTTCTATGTGTAAAAACACCAAGGGAAGCAGGTCATGGAGATGACGAGAAGACGCCGGATAGTAAATCACTCAATAAAATAATCACATTGATGGGTGTTTTTGAAAGTTTTGATTTTGTTTGGCTTAATTAACGTTTCCTTTGTAAGTATGACTCTCACTTTGCTTGTGTATTAGCAGAACTTGAACAGAGACATTATACAACGCTCAACACGAATAACGCTTAATGTACCAAGACAATGATAAAGACAAAATTGTAAAGCACACTTTGTGCAGATATGCATATGAGCCCAAAATGTGACCAAAATGTGTTTATTTACACGTTAAGCATTTTCCTCTTATATAGAGGGCAAGTCGTGGCCTAATGGTTAGAGAGTCTGACTTGTAACTGAAAGGTTGCGAGTCTCGGTACTGGCAGGGATTGTAGATGGGGGGGAGTGAATGACCAGCACTGTCTTCCACCCTCAATACCACGACTGAGGTGAGACCCTTAAACCCCCAACTGCTCCCCGGACGCCGCAGCAAAAATGGCTGCCCACTGTCCGGGTGTGTGTTCACTACTTACTGCTGTGTGCGCGCACTTGGATGGGTTAAAGGGGTCATATGATGTTGCTAAAAATAACATTATTTTGTGTATTTGGTGTATTGAAATGTGTAGTCTACTCTACCAGGATCAGGAAAGAGTCCTCCATAAAATGCGCTGGACACATCAGAATATTTGGGTTGAACTGTTCTGTAACAGTGTTGTAAATACAGCTTAACCACTGATTTCTAGTCGTGTCCTCTTTTGGAAGACCAAACAAAGTAGTTTCGCATTCACAACGAGAAACGGCGTCACACACGGTGGGCTTGAGTGAGCGACAGCCGGAGGCCTAGAGTGAGCGGTGGCGGGCGGGCTTGCAGCAACCACATGTGACGACCCCGGGTTGGACTCCGCTTTGTCCACGGTGAAAGCCTATCTGGCGATCCACAGCGCGAAGTTGATGTATTTCCTCAGTGACCAGCATGAATCAGCTCCAGGCATGACGAAGCGGATATCGTCCTCTTTTGGAAGGCCAAACAAAGTAGTTTCGCTTTCACAACGAGAAACGGCGTCACACACGGTGGGCTTGAGTGAGCGACAGCCGGAGGCCTAGAGTGAGCGGTGGCGGGCGGGCTTGCAGCAACCACATGTGACGACCCCGGGTTGGACTCCGCTTTGTCCACGGTGAAAGCCTATCTGGCGATCCACAGCGCGAAGTTGATGTATTTCCTCAGTGACCAGCACGGATCAGCTCCAGGCATGACGAAGCGGATATCGTCCTCTTTTGGAAGGCCAAACAAAGTAGTTTCGCTTTCACAACGAAACACACAGCGCATTCACAACATGGCGGCGGCGGCAACAACAATACTACAGCGAGAATAAGTTACGCCTTTCTTTGCGTGAACATTTGGGCGGCATTATGCAAATCTTCCCACTTCGTGACGTGGGGGCATGTTAGGACGAGGCGTTTTAGGTAGGTGTGGTTGACTCTTAACTTTTTTTTTATAAAGAATATCTCCTTGGATTTGAGACTTTAGTCTTTGCAACTTTACAGATCTTCTTTATGCACCAAGAGCTTGTAACACTCCAAAGAGAAAGGAAAAAATGAAATCGCATCATATGACCCCTTTAAATGCAGAGCACAGTTTCCGAGTATGGGCCACTGTTCTTGGCTACATGTCACGCCACTTTAAAGAAAACACTTAATGCACTGAGATAGTGATATTAAAAGACCACATTCTTTGTACTATTTACTAAAAAAAACATACTATGTGCAGGAAAACAAATGACCCCAAAATATAAACTTTTAACGTAACTGCCTGTTCAATGCATAAGCCATGTTAAGCATTTTGTTTTTATGGTTTTCTAAAGGGAGGAAAACACTTAACGTGCAATTAAATGCGTTGCGTTCATATTCTGGGCTTATCTTCACATTCTCTATATTGTCTCAGATTTTGCAAAGGCAAACGCTCTTTACAATGTATAAATCAATCGATAACTGAGATGCAAGATGGCACCAGTTGCGTTTGCGTGAAACAAGAGTGAGCTATTGCGCCGACATGAAAGTAGCACCGGTTTCTATTGCCCGGATGACTTGATTCTGATTAGTTGGGTTGTGTCCTAAATCCCCTATTCTTTTTAAATGGGGCAATATTCGAGGGGACAGCCATTTGTAGTGGTGTCTGAAACAAGAGTGGATGTTATCGAGTGCACTCATTCAGTGCCATAATGCACCGCAACTAAGAGTGTAGAACCGATTTACACTCAATGGCTAGGGAATACCCATATTGCACTGTACGACTGCAACTGAATCATCCATCCATCTGATTTTGAACACAGCCATAGTTGCGCCATCCACTGTTGTCCATGGCAGTGCCTTGTAAATCTCGAGTTGGTGGAGGTTTCTTTGCAGAATCATGTATAATATAGTTTCTCACCAGGATTTCCAATGGTAAACATGATTGTTTAAAAAATAAATTGAAATAATCTGGGTTGATGGGTTCAACAAAAGTTTGTCTTTAATAGGGATGGGTACCGAGAACCGGTATTTTTTTTGGACTGGTACGTAATTGGGTCAATACCGGAATACTGATAAGCTCCAGCAGGGTTTCCGCGGGTCTTAAAGTCTTAAATTTAGTTGTATCAAATTTAAGGCCTTAAAAGTCTTAAATTGTACAAGAAAGTCTTAATTATGATTTCAAGAGGTCTTAAATTTGGGGACGGAAAGACCAGAATTGCGATATGGCTGAATGTGACGATTAAACTTCAAAAGGCTATGATTTCATTAAATAAACACGAGTGCTGCACGTTCAAAGTCCGGTGCTGCGCTGCTTTGTGTACAGCAGTCACCCGGGAAACCGTTATATTTCTACCAAACGCTCCACCTGCTGTCAGAATGAATGAGCATTTTCAATAAAACTGATGTTTTGTTCAGAGTTCAGACAAATGCAAAAATCGACCCATGTTTTTACCCTGCAAACACCCAGCACTTTAAATGTGAACTGGTGGATCGATAAGAAGACAATGCATTATAAAAATCTAAACAGAATAGGGGTGTGCGATATGAATGGTCTGCGATAATATAGTAATTGTTGTTTTAACGACGTGTGATTTGATATTATCGAGTATATCGCGAAAAGCAAACAAAACACCTACAGAGTGCGCTTACATTAGATGAAGTCTAGCAGGTTAGACTAGTGCGAGCATTTAGAGTGCGTTCTTTCACTGACTGAATTAGTCTATTAAAATGCATTTAGAATTATCACAATTCAAGATATGGGGCAGAAAATTTATATATAGTCCTGTCGCAATCAATATATCGACTTATCGCGCAGTATGTACATGACCTCTAATTTTTGGTGAAGCAATATATCACCCATTATATTTACTTAGAAATTAATGTCACAGTGTTTTTTGCATTACACTAAACTTTGCAGCTTCTCGTACATAACATGGTGGAGTCATGAGGTGCTAGTTCAAATTTAAAAAATGCTTCTACAAAAAAAAAGTTTAATCTGCAGATATGATCTTGTTTAGGGATCTGTGCCTTTGTGCATACGGACATCTGACTGATAAATAGTGAATATGTTTCTCAGCAATAGTGTGCACCCTTAGTTTACAGAGAAAAGAAGGTCAGGGAAAAATCTGTAGATGGAAAAATCTCCATACAAGTTGTTTGTGCATTTTTCTTTTTTTGTACTTGTTATTTTGCACTTTATGCTAGAAAATGTTTATTTGCTATTTATTCACGTTTAAGGTATCTAATATTTTGATACTTAATTTCCATGATCTAAATATTCTTAAAAATTGAAAGTTTGTT